ATAACCCCCCCTGCAGTCACTGGGGGGTATTGCGTGTGATATGTATTCTGGGTACAGGACGCCACCTGCAGTCACTGCGGGGGTATTGCGTGTGATATGTATTCTGGGTACATGACGCCACCTGCAGTCACTGGGGGGTATTGCGTGTGATATGTATTCCGGGTACATGATGCCACCTGCAGTCACTGGAGGGGTATTGCGTGTGATATGTATTCCAGGTACATGACGCCACCTGCAGTCACTGGAAGGTATTGCGTGTGATATGTATTCTGGGTACAGGACGCCACCTGGAGTCACTGGGGGGGTATTGCGTGTGATATGTATTCTGGGTACAGGACGCCACCTGCAGTCACTGGGGGGTATTGCGTGTGATATGTATTCTGGGTACAGGACGCCACCTGCAGTCACTGGGGGGTATTGCGTGTGATATGTATTCTGGGTACAGTGGGCTTCTGGGGGCTATTTTGCACCTATCCCTGTGGTTGGCAGCCATGTTGGAGGACGGGATGTTCTGCTGTCAGTGCCGCTCATACTGATGGTGTTTGGAATTATTGGGCTCTGTCTGGCCAATCACTGGAGCCCTCGAATGTTCTGTGCCCCGGGTCTTAGATTGCCGGGGGGCCCTGACCAAGGTGCGCAGTGACGGTTGGTGCCGGTTGGTGGTGAATACCTGTTGTTACTGTCGCATTGTTCTCGGGACATGCCGGACTTTCATGTCCTACAATTTCTGATTCTAATCTGTAAGGCCTCATTCACACAGCCGCGTATAGAGCCGCATATTTGTGTAGCGTATACCGTGTTTCCCCGAAAATAAGACCCAGTTTGGTGGTAGCCTGTGAGGGGGAACTTGCAGGAGAGATGGTGTCGGCCTGCAGGGACACACTGTATCAGGGGATGACAGGGGACTCCCTCCGGCCCGCGCAGTGACAGGGAGCACTCCGGTACCAGACTTCACCCACTGCTGTCCTCCTGAAGGCGCCGCGTCATGTAATGGTACCGAACCGCGCTGTCCACTGTCTGACGTCCCCCCCTCCGGTACCGAACCGCGCTGTCCACTGTCTGACGTCCCCACCGCCGGTACCGAACCGCGCTGTCCACTGTCTGACGTCCCCACCGCCGGTACCGAACCGCGCTGTCCACTGTCTGACGTCCCCACCGCCGGTACCGAACCGCGCTGTCCACTGTCTGACGTCCCCACCGCCGGTACCGAACCGCGCTGTCCACTGTCTGACGTCCCCACCGCCGGTACCGAACCGCGCTGTCCACTGTCTGACGTCCCCACCGCCGGTACCGAACCGCGCTGTCCACTGTCTGACGTCCCCACCGCCGGTACCGAACCGCGCTGTCCACTGTCTGACGTCCCCACCGCCGGTACCGAACCGCGCTGTCCACTGTCTGACGTCCCCACCGCCGGTACCGAACCGCGCTGTCCACTGTCTGACGTCCCCACCGCCGGTACCGAACCGCGCTGTCCACTGTCTGACGTCCCCACCGCCGGTACCGAACCGCGCTGTCCACTGTCTGACGTCCCCACCGCCGGTACCGAACCGCGCTGTCCACTGTCTGACGTCCCCACCGCCGGTACCGAACCGCGCTGTCCACTGTCTGACGTCCCCACCGCCGGTACCGAACCGCGCTGTCCACTGTCTGACGTCCCCACCGCCGGTACCGAACCGCGCTGTCCACTGTCTGACGTCCCCACCGCCGGTACCGAACCGCGCTGTCCACTGTCTGACGTCCCCACCGCCGGTACCGAACCGCGCTGTCCACTGTCTGACGTCCCCACCGCCGGTACCGAACCGCGCTGTCCACTGTCTGACGTCCCCACCGCCGGTACCGAACCGCGCTGTCCACTGTCTGACGTCCCCACCGCCGGTACCGAACCGCGCTGTCCACTGTCTGACGTCCCCACCGCCGGTACCGAACCGCGCTGTCCACTGTCTGACGTCCCCACCGCCGGTACCGAACCGCGCTGTCCACTGTCTGACGTCCCCACCGCCGGTACCGAACCGCGCTGTCCACTGTCTGACGTCCCCACCTCCGGTACCGAACCGCGCTGTCCACTGTCTGACGTCCCCACCGGCGGTACCGAACCGCGCTGTCCACTGTCTGACGCCCCCACCGGCGGTACCGAACCGCGCTGTCCACTGTCTGACGCCCCCACCGCCGGTACCGTTGTCCCTGGTAGCAAAGGAAGCCGGCGCTGTAGAAAGCAAGGCTGCGGCGGCAGAGGGAGCAGAGCCGCATTAGCCGATACTTCCTCTATAGCGCCGGTTACTGTGACAGGCAGAGTGACACCGGAGTGACACCGGATAACTTTACATTGTCGTACATAAAAAAAAACAATAAGACCTAGTGTCTTATTTTCGGGGAAACGCGGTATATATGCGCAAAAACAAAATGGAACAGAGATGAGGCGGCGGGTTTGTTTTGTGATCGCTGTAATAATTGATCACAAGCAAGTCACCGTGGCTTCTGATTGTGAGCATGAGATGAGAGCTATCCGTGACAGCACAGTCCCTGGACTAGGAGCGCGCGCTGCTGCGGGCTCCTGGCTTCAGTCATAGAATGTAGATTGAGATTTCCTTTGAGGAATATTAGTTCTAGATCGGGGGGTAGCAAACCTCCGGCCCTCCAGCTGTGGGGGTGAAACTACAAATCCCATGATGCATCTCTCTTCGGGAGTCGTGTCTATGAGAATCTTGCAATGCCTGATGGGATTTGTAGTCCCGCCCACAGCTGGAGGGGCCGGAGGTTTGCTACCCCTGGTCTAGACGTTGAGGGCTGGAAGTGGTTAAAATCACATTGTGCCGTATGGTGATGGACGGCTGAATGAGGTGGAACTTCCTGGGAGCAGTCGGTCCATCCGTGGGGCAGATTGGAGACGCCGGCAGGAGGTATTTGGCTCTGTAGGGATCTGTATGGCGGTTCTGGTACCGTCCGGTATCTGCAGGTTGGGTATTGAGCTGACAGAGAGAAATGTTCCCGTAGCGGCCCCGGTCACGCTGATCCCGCCTCTTCTTCTGCTTTTCAGTATCGGCACAGAACACGAGAGGTACCAGACTTTGCCAAAGACCAGCAGGCACCCCCCCAGCGGCTCCCCGCCCCCCACCCGCAACCTGCCAAGTGACTACAAGTATGCGCAGGACCGCGTCAGCCACCTGAAGATGTCCAGCGAGGAGCGTCAGGCCACCCC